TTTTTTTTTTTTTTTGTAGGGGAGGGGGCAAGAGGAAGAAAGCACACATTTTTTAAAAGGCGAAAATAAAATTTCCAACTTCTGGTTGGTTATGGGAGTGGGGACTACAGGTTTATATGTAAAAGCTGATCAAATTCTACCATATTTTTCATTTAATAAATAAAATTGTCTGGCTTTAACTTGTTCAAATATTTTTCATGAAGCTGTCTACCTTCTCCTTTAAGTCTTGAAGCTCCTCGTATAATATAATTATATATGGAATGTTGGAATTTTTTTTTAATTTAAATGATGGCATACAAAAATACTGTATCTGTGAAATTCATAGTTTTTGCCATTGGAAAAGTTCATGGACATAGTTTGTGTAGCAACAGCAGCATGCACAGCCAATCCTTTAAATCATTTTTCCAATTCTTTTGCTGATGATTGGCATATAATCTGTTATTTAGCACCTTTGGTATGAAACAATACACAGTATCACTGCATCATGGCAACTGAAGCTCTGCATCCGGTTTTGCTTAATTAATCCCTTTCATGAAACAATTTCACTAATTTTATCTTCATATTATCTTAATTGTTATATATGCAGGTGTCTTGATCTTGTTTTCTAGAACAACTGTAAGTTTTGATGAGTTTCGTGACATACCAGTAGATATGCCTTATTAGTTAACTCTTATAGCATTTAGTTACTGAAACCAATTCACACTTTTTTTTTGTAAAATTAAGGCCAAATTCAGTATAAAGTAGTAATACAACATTTTTTTATCCATCATTGTTTGATTGAGTCCCATTGCTATAATGGTTTGTTCAGGCAGCAAGTGTTGAGGAGAATATCATGGTTACCTGAGACCTAGTTGTAAAAAAAAAAAAAAAAAAAAAAAAAATATATATATATATATATATATATATATATATATATATATATATATATATATATATATATATATATATAGTTTTAAGGCTTAGCCACAACAGCTAAAATTAGGTAGAACATTTGGTGTATTTTTATTTTTACAGTTCTAATTAATGTTGTTTTGTAATGAATGTAACAGTTTGAGAACTGTTTTTTGGGAAGTCCTTCAGAATGTACTAGAACATATTAAGAACATTTTTCATTAAAAGAGAAAAACATTATGTTCTAGGACAGATTGAGTACCAAATTTTCACAGGGGGCCTGAGATTTATCCAAAGTTGAGATTAAATAATTGTTGTTGACGTACTTAGCAATTTTCTTTGGCACAATTTAGAGTTTTAAATTTTACAGTTCGTATCCAACACCTAAATTGCTGCCATATGTCTTTCATTTTACATATGGTTCATTTTCATTTAGTAGAAAGCACTGACTTTGATACAATCTATAGCTTTGGCATGTTGTCACAAGCAGAGCATTGTCACACCTAATACACTATTAGAACAATTATGGCAGTTTGTTGAGACCAGTTTAAATGCATTAGGTTGTGATGGTAGGTTTTTTGGAATTTCCTCTCAAAGTGCCAAAGCAGACATCATAAGCATCTATTGTCAATTGTTTAGCCTGAAACTACATAAATAAAGAAGCATTAATTGCTAATGACTATTTGTTTTCATCTAAAAAACTGCAACAACCAACGCAATGTTGTATTTGTCCGTGTCACAGACAGCAGTAACGTAATCCACACATCCCCACAAACACATTTGTACGCAATGCAAATAAGTGATTGGGAGTTGAAGCTCATTAGTACGTACGAGAATAGATTTTTTAGTATGCAGGCAGGCAGCCGGCCTTTTATTTCACACAGCTTAATTGACTCACTTGTGATGTATGCATACAATGAGCAGGTGCATTGTCTAATGGTATGGACATTTTTGAAAGTCACCAGATTTTCAGCGTATAGTCCTGCCGAGGTTAAATGTATACTAGAACGCTGTTCTTTAACGCTGTCTGTTTTAAAGGCTTCTGGCTATTATAATAGGTGCATGGAGAGATTTGGAAAGTTATCATGATTTGTTTTCATTTGTGGCTTGTCTGGATTAGGATTTGTTGTCGTGATGGTAAACAGTGTAATATATAGAGTTTTACCATTGGCTGCTAGGATTATCATCTTGCAAGTGTACCAGGTACAAGTATTGATGAATTTGTAGTGCAAACTGCATAGTTGAAGAGCACACGAGATGAAAAAAAAAAGTTTAATGATATCAAGTCTTCCTATGTACACTTGCAGCAGAGACACTGTCGGAAACTTTGGATTGTGAAACGTACAGTGAAGATTCATCATATTCTGATATTTGATTCAAAGTGTGCAAGTATTTGTTACAGATTTTAAAGGCAGTGTTGAAAAGAGAAGGACCATTCAGGAATACGTAGTGGTTCTATAACTGCGATGTTTTCATTATGAGGGAATTGGGACTTTAACCAGTCCATAACCAAGTGTTTTGCTTGATTTTTTTATTTTTTCAATTTTATTTTAAGATTTACTTCAGGAGTAGCACATTCATTGTAAATGAGGAGTGAAAGGAGTTAAAAGTCTGTGGGACATAAAAAACACCCATTTCAATCTAACCTGATAAAATATATATGTCATGAGTACCAGCATCTGCAGACTAGTGTGCATACAATGTAAAATGCACAGTGTATAATATTTATAAATACTGGTGGAATAACAAACATAGCTTGAGCAGGACTAGATACTTGTTTTTTTCACATTCTGTTTATTTAAGCTGTGTATTTGAGACAAGACAAGAGAGATCTAGGAGGAAAATATTACTTGACTTTACAATAGATCCAGCCTATTGGGATTTTAGCTTCGTCTGTGCTGGGTATTTACGTTATTTAGTACATGGATATACATGTACCCAATGTGGCAGTAATCCCTATTACAAATACCATGTATGGGACACTATTTACAAGGAAGTGAACTTGAGAACCAATGCCTTAATTTTGCTGAAGGTTTTTTTTTCTGCATTAATGTGACAGCCAGTCTATAATTACATTTTAAACTTGGCTGTTTTGGCACCCTCCCTCTGCCTGGAGTATTGGACATGGGCTCCAAGCATACTGGTTTTCACACTGGTGTAAGAGCCACTGGGCGCCCCAAGTGGACCGACTGCTTGGACAAAAGGTAAAGTCTGAGAAATGTGGGCTTAGGAAATGGGGATGTTAAGGAAATTAAAGGGGGGATGGAGTAAATTAAAGGAACTTTTTTGTGCTTTGTCACTCCTCTCTACCTACTGCATATGCCCTTATTTTGCTATAATCTGATAAGGTTTGATAAGTGAACAATTAGGTTCAAAACTAAATAATTAACTAAGTATTTTAGGATCTTTGATTTGGCCAAAGGAGACAGGTGGAAGAAGATTTTTTTTCCCCTGACCTCTACAAACCCATGTGTCTTTACATATACATGCATGCACACACTACCAGTATATACTATTACCTACTCCATGCACACACACACCTCTACTCCCCGTACACACTCCTACACCACCTCCTGCACACACGCACACACACACACACACACACACCTATACCCTCCCACACACACACCTATACCCCCCGACACACACACACACACACACATACACACACGTACTGCGTTATTCCAGTATGCATGCACACCAAAACAAAGTTTACTTTCTGTGAGGTCATCAGACAACCCAATCAATTCACCAGGCCTTAGGCCAAGTGTCTCTGTAAATATCTCACCACTTGGTACAGGGAAACTCCACATTTAATTTCCTTAATAAAGAAAATTGTATGCATTGGAGCCAGATTTACAAAAACCTTTGACTTTTTCTGCGTTACAAGGCTTCTGGGCTTAATGTTTTTTTCTGTGATCCACGCGTCAAGAATTGATTAACAATGCCTTAATGTCAGCATTCATAAATGTAAGATGACTAAGAAAGCAGCCCCCTAGCTCCACCCGCCTTTTAGTAGCTAACTCCTTCTTAATTAAAAAGCCAAAATCATATTGACTTCTGTTTAGATATTTTGTAAATAGATTTTCTGGCAAGTAAAGCTAATAAACCAGTAATGATGGCCTTATCTGATGAATATATAAGTAAGGTGTACATGCGGCTTGGCTCACTTTTAGCATTTAATTCTCTTCAGAGATCAATGTAACCTTGTTTGCTTTATGAATTTTGAATAATGTATCTATTTTCACCTGGCCATAGATTTAGAATAGAAGGGCGCTTGGTTAACATACTATAGTAAGTAAGGGATTCATGTTGTTGTAGCTCTATTGACGACCTTGTGAAAGAAAAACAGAAATATTGACTGGACAGCAACTTACAGTTAAAAAAAAAAAGGTTGAGAACAACGAAGTCTCTGCAACAGACTGCCATTTGTTGTAGTTCACTGTGCCAGTTAAGAAGTAAGAAATAGTAGTGCTGATAGAATTTTCTTATTATTTAAGAAAGCTTGAGAATTACATGCAGTCTGATTGGCACTTACAATTTATATTTCTTTTCTTTTTTTTTTTTGTTTGTGCCTCACTCTCTCACTTGGCCACTTTGATAATAGTAACTGTAAAGTTATTTACCCCTCCCCCTTTTCTCCACATTGTTCATCCACCTACTTCCTCCCAGCCACCCTC